GTAGAGTTAAGGTTGCCCAGCTCTGCCTTGTACCCTTGTAAAGTGTGGAGAGTGGCTTAACTTAATCCTCTGTGTGACAGGGTTTGCTCCACTGCAGCCTCATGGCCCACCAGAGCACTATGCACCCTGCCTCAGGGCTTCCACTGATCAGCCACTGCCTCTTGTGAGGTCCAGGGCCGTGGTGCTTTAGCCCTCTGGCTAAGACACTCTTCAGTTCTTGCCTTCTGAGGTATTAAAGTCCCAAAATAAGAAAACTGAGAACTCTTAATAGGGTCACCCCACAAGTATTCAGCAGGACCCCGCCCTTTTACTCTGAGCCTGTCTCCAATAGCCAGTCCTTTGGTCAGCCCCCCAGGGTCCAGTCGGCAGACGTCACATCCACTTTGAGGCTTGTCCAACTGGAAAGCTACCTCAGACTCCTGGGTGTAAACAGGCTTCCCTCACATCTATTATTTGTAGTACAATAGCCCCTGGAGGCCCCAGCCAGGATTAGGGTCCCAGTGTGCAAGCACCATATCTATACATTATAACAGATAGTGCTTATACAAAGATTATTATAGGCAGAGCTGGTAGCGACTCCTATTATTATGATTGCTGGAAACGTCCCTGTTTTCTGTTGCTTATAATTTTGCCAAGTTTTAACCACTTGGACTGAAATTTTCCATGCTTGGTGTTTCCACCGGGCTTAATACTGTGAAAGTTGCCACTAAAATGGTTCAGCCTTTTCTGAGAATTAGGTTGTTCTGCCCATGTTAAAAACAATTCTTGCAACCTTTTCCCTGAGAAGCTCTAGCTCCCCCATGTTTTGGGTCAGGGACTTTAAATTTGGCAGGGGGGTGGTCCATGTGTCAGGGAGACACATTTTGCTGTTCCCATGAAAATTCACATAAAATATGGCCAAGTTATAAGACCTTGAAAAAAAATCTCAGTTTGCACGAGCTCTATAGAGACTTGTTAGAACTTTGTAACTAAATTCTTTCTTTTGTTTGAGTTTTTTTTGTTGCTGTTTGTAATCTTGTCAGTCACCCATGGTTCTCATCACTCCCCCACTTCTGCATCAGAGCAGCTGTGGCTCCTCCTCTCCACTCCCCCAACCTTATTTCCCCTTTCTTGTTTTCCCTCACCCCACGACAATTCCCACCTATTCTACCTACTCCATCACGATCTCCCCTCTCCTTCCACCAGCACAAATAAATATAGGTCCCCCAACTGTAACCTCCTCCTGACCTCTGACTAGATCTGCGCTAACCTGATCCCTCCCTCCATCCTCACCCTATCTACCTCCTACAGTCATCCTTCCACCACCTTGATCCCTCTGCTGCCATCCTGTCTAACCTCATACCCACTCCTCTCCTTTCTCCTCCCCTTCTCTTGCTGACTCTGAAACACCCACCCCATCTCTAAAAAGATCACAGCCATCCACAACATCTTCATCTCTCATTCCCTCCAGCTCCACACTCTAGCATTCCATAAGGTTTTGCACTGGAGTGTAAGTGTGATGAAGATGAGGTACATATTGCTTTTGGTAGCTGTTCGAGATGAAGATGAAAGCCAAATGGAGCACTGGAGTAGGTTATTGACAGTGTTTAGGCATCAAGAAGGTGGAAAGGCATGTACAAGTCTTTCCCCATAACTTCTTATTTCCATGCTTTAAGATTTTGGGTGAATGGGGAGTGGTCCTGCCACAGTCTTAAATGTCTGTCACTTTTATGGTGGATCATTCAGCCATTTGTGAGCTATGAAAATCTGGGAGGGGGTGGGGATCAATGTTTAAAAAAATAATGTATGTTTTACTACTTAAATTATGTAGGTGTTTTTGGAGCTCAGACAACACTCACCAACGTGGCTTCTTGCATGGTCCTGGCATATCTTCATCATCTTCTTCAGTTTGAAAGGAACACATTCTTAGATAAAGTGACTCCAGTTTACAGCAATGCTTTATACAGAATGAAAGAACAATTTGATCCATTTTGGTGAAGCGATAGATATTTAATGTTAGCTCAGTGTAACGATTCATTGCACTCTGCACAAATTGTTTTTCTTGAATTTCATACAAACAGTAAAACTTCTCAAGATAGGAACGATCAGCAAAACCGGACAATGGCAACATGGGGGTTTCTTCAACACACTTTAGTAAAATTTCTTTAATTCGTGGTGAAATTTTAAAGCTAAGTATTTTCTCCCAATCCTCCTTTCTCTCATCATTTAAAAGACCAAACAGGAATCGCACTATTAATATGTCAGAATTTCTATTTGAATTCTTTTTCAACAACATGTTGACATTTTTCAAAAAAGTTTCTGAATCTTCCACTGTTTCTTCTTTCTGCATCACACAAAATAAAGCTGAAAAAAATTCTTGAAAAGTCAAGTGAATGAAGCTGTACACGTATTCACAGTCAATGTCTTTCTGAAACATGTTCTCATTCAGAAAGAGAGAGTCAGCTGTATCTAAGCCATGCTGCTTGATTTCTTCTTCCTCAAAGAGTATTTTCTGCCTCCTTACTCCATGTGCAGCCAAGGAACAAAGTCCCTTCAAGTTCATTTGTATCTGTTGCTTTGAATTACTGCTGTGACCTTTCATCAGACTGGAGAGATAGAGCATGTAGACATCAGTGACCGTTCTTGAAGTTTGTGCAAGATCTTCACCTGCTTCTATCTGTTGTTTCAGAACAGTGCAGATGATCCAACACACAATGGGAATAAAGCACATGGTGAAGAGCATTTCACGATCTTTTACAAAGTTATAGGCTTTTCTTGCTTGTTCTTCATTCCCAAAGAACTTGTAAAAATATTCTTCTCTCGCATTTTCAGAAAACCCCAGGATCTCTGCATAACGTTCTGCACAATGTTCATATTTCAAACACTGCCCGAGTTTCTCCAGAGCTGTTGGCCTTGTAGTAATTATTAGGTGGGATTTGTGAAGCACTTTTTTCCTAAATAAACTGCTCAGTAAGATTTCCACTGGCTGCTTCTCACAGGGATCAGAGGAGAAATTACTTTCTGACTGATTAAAGGAAAATCTCAGTTCATCAAAACCGTCAATTATGAACATGAGTTTTTCTGGATTCATCAAAATCTCTTTAGTTGGTGCATTTTGATCAGAACAGTTCTTGAAGATCAAATCTTCAACACTTCCCTGCTCACTGACAAAGTTAAGTTCCCTACAATTTATGTAGAAAACATAATCAAACCTGCTCTGATACAGTTCTCCATTTGCCCAGTCCAACATGATCTTTATTGCTGTCAGTGTTTTTCCAATCCCTGCAGCTCCGAGCAACACGACAATTTGTGGTAATTGTCCATCTTCATTATGTTCAAATAAATGGCCTATGGTGATGGAACTACTATAGTTAGAGATGATTTTTTCATGTTTCTGTCCCAAGGCCATTATTTCATTTTCTCTCTGCTTTTTGTGACGATGTTCATTTACAATGATCAGCTTTGTGTATCTGCTGTTTAGCTTCACATTCTCACCAAGACGAGAGTTCATGTCTTTTATTGCGCTGTATTTGTTTCGTATATGTTCTCTATACTTCACCCTGTAAGCTGAGTTAGTGACATGAAGCATTAGATATTATTGTAATGTTACAATAAAGCTATTTAAGCAATAATACTGGTACTGTAAATTTATAGTGCATATTTCATCATAAAGTATCCTGATATAAATTAACTCTGAGCCCAGTCCTTACTCACATCAGTGGCCCCATTGAAATGAGTCATATGAGAAAAAAAAGCGTAGGCTCAGGCCCTCTATGCATTTATATATAAGAATCACTTCATCAGTTACTGAAATGTAGCCATCTCTAGGGTGAAACTTGTCAGATATTAGTGCACAATGACACTCTGTAACAAAGTGGGGCATGAAGCGATGGAGAATAACAGATATAACTGAAACAGCAATGGGAATTTAGGTGCAAAGAATATAACTAAATATAACCTAAAATTTGTACAGGGCTCAGAGGTTTAAAAAAGTGCCATAGCACCTTCAGTGACCACAAATGTTGACCTCTCCTTATTTCACCTCATTTAAAAGATGGTATCACTAGCAGGAGAGTGTCTTCCAGCATCATGCTGCTGCATTGGGTCAGTACTGCCTCTGAGACAAGAGCTCTACCTACTCACCAGTACCATTTTCTGCAGCACCTGATTCTTTCCTGGAGATCTCCCCATTCATTTCCTCATCCCCCATCCAACCCTGCATAACCTGTGTGATCTGATGAGGCTGCGCTCTGAGGTGTTATTTATTATTTCTACTAGTAAACCCAATGTCTGGCTGATCTAGTCTAATGCTGGTAATCACTGGTAATTACACAATGCATTTCCTTATTGGAATGTCACATACCATTTGCTGATGTTTCAGGTGTTTGCTGAGGACCCAAAGCTGAAAGAGAAATTTCACATGAATGTCAGTGTAACAACAATCACAGTGTCACACAGTTCAGGACATTGGGACAAGTCATTCATTCAGGGTTCTCTGCAGTAATGAGCTCCCTAGAAAACCCATGGCTGAGGCAGGCAGAGAGAATTTCTTTGGAGACACTAGTTATGTGACCTGTTAAAAATGGCCACCAAAAGCAATACTCTTAAAAAAACTAAACAAAAAAACAACAACAGTAGAGTAGTCACTTAGGATATGTCTACACAACAATGTAAGCCCGGGCTTGACTGTGGGCTCAAGTCTATATCCATCCTTATGTCCACACACCAATTGTGCTAACATAGGGCTCAAACCTAAGGTCCTAGGATTCTGCAGGTCTGGAGGGTCTGAGCCCATGTTAAGCTGGGACCTATGATCCAAGCCCTATTGCTTTCCTGTGTGCACGTGGCCCCAGTTTGACTTGGGTCCTGGAAGTCTTCTGGGTGAATCCCAGAGATCCTGGTGGCAGAAGAGCAGCGTTGCAGGCAGCCAGCCCAGCAGCCGGAAGCACCAGTACTGCCTGGCCAAACACGATCCCTGTTCCTGCTCCTCACATAGTGGCAGCAGCTCCTGTTCAGGCTCCTTCTCACTGCTGCATGGAGCTTCCCTGGACCAGGGAGCAAATCTGCCAGGTGGGAGACAGCTCCCGGCCACTAGGATGTTGTGGGGGGGGGCATTCCTCCCCTGGCCATGCTGAGCTGGGAGCCCTGATGCTCCCCCTCCCTGCAAGGCAGCCGCTTGGTCCCTACTCCCCTCTCTGGCCCTTGCCCCCAGCCCCTCTGGGGCAGCCTGTGCAGGTGTGTGTGGGCTGCATGCACTGCCAGGGGAGTGAGTGGGAGTCAGCCCCAAAAATTCCCCCACAGCCTCCTTCAGTGGTGGCAGCTCCAGCTCCTCCTTGCTGCACAGCAGTTGGTTGTTCCTGCTGTGCTCACTGGCCCTTGCTCTCGAGCCCCCTGGGGCCCCATGTCCAGGAGTGCCCAAACTGCCAGCACTGTCAGGGTGGCAAGTGGGAACCTGCCACAAACCTTCCCTGCAGCCTCCTTGTAACGGCATGGCACTGACCTCTCACGAGTGCCCCTTCTGACCGGGTGCATCTTCAGTCTTTAAATAGCTCCAGCCCCTGTATCAGGCTGTAGCCCCAGGGCTTCTCCCTGGCAGCAATGGATAGGTCCTCTCTGGGCCCTTCTGGCCCCAGCTCTTCAGTCAGGCCATTAAGTAGTTCAGATCCCCTTCTTGGGAGTTATGGCTGCCCAATTATAGGCCACTTTCCCAGTGGCCTATGGGGGGCACCCAGGTCCGCCCATTACTCCAAGTCCCAGCCTAGGGACCCTAAGAATAGTGTCCACATGCCACTGTGTCCCTTTAACTAAGCTGCTTTCAGTTTCCTAGGTCACTTCCCCGCAGCCCCAGACTTCACCAGTTCTTCACCCTTAGCTCAGGGGTATTCTATGTTCAGGCCCAGCAGCCCACCAGTCCCTGCCAGCACTGAGATGTCCATGGTGCTGCCGTTCCCTTTGGCCAGCCAGGGGCACCATATTGAGTCCTCTGGCTCCAGCAAGGAACTGCCTGTCTCTGGCTTTGCAGGTCCTTTTTATATGGCTTTCCTGGGCCCAGATTGGCTGCTTCCCCTGAAGCCACTCTAGGCTGCTTGGACGACTCCTCTACTACTCCTTTCCTGGGACAAGAGTGGCAGGAAACTGAGGCTTCCAGCAGGGAGCCTCTGGGCCTAGTCCAGCCCATCACACTCATATGGTGGTGGCAGCTTTGGCTCCAGCTCTTCCTTGCTGCTGTGAAGAGCTTGCCAGGAACAAAGCTGAGAGATGGGAGACAGCTCCCAGCTGCCAGGATGTTCAGCATTATCCCTCCTCTGGCTGTGCTGAGCCAGGAACTCTGCTGCTCCCCTTTCCTGCAGGGCAGCCACTTGGTCCCACTCTATTTTCTGATGCTTGTTCCCAGGCACCTACTGCTCTTCCTGGGGCTGCGTGTGTAGAGATGTCTGGGCAGCATGCACTGTGAGGGCAATTAGTGGGAGCCAGCTCCAAAACATCCCCACAGACTCCAGGGATCCTTTATCTCTGCCTCTGGGGTGCGATGAGGGCAGGGATAAGGGATCCTTGGGGGGTGCTGGAGCACACTGCACCCCAAGCCCTGGGGAAACACTGCAGCACTCCGTAGCTGGCAGCAGCCAGCCTGGGGTGGGGGTGTGTTTTTCCTTTGATACCGTCATTTTATGTCAAACTTCAAAACAGACAAAAATAAATTAAAAAACAAACAAACAAAATTAAGAATTGCAAAGTTTCATTTAACAGTTTGGCAGCCCTGGAGACTGACATCCTAATTATCCACAGAACTGGAGCACATGGGCATTTTCCTGCCACTGTGACTCAGCCTAGAGATGGAGAGCCCAACTCTCAGATTAGGTGGTAGTTCAGTATAAAGCCTTCACAAGCTGCCGTCATGCTACTGAGACAGCCACCAAAGGCACTAATTATGCAATTGATGTACTCATGTGCTCCTTATGGGCAGCTGAATCCCATCAACAGCACTGTCACAGTTAAGAAACAGGGTGGGCATTAGATTTTTCCCACAGTGCAACACATTCATAGGGCTAGAGTCTTGACACTGGGATGGGGGGGGCACCAGGCACTCTGGGATAAGGTCACTTTGACTCAGGTCTGTGCACTGCAGTGTGGAGGCTAGAACCCTAGGTTCGAGCACAGGTCAGAGAATTCTTAACCTAGGGTTAAAATGCAATGAAGAGGCTCAAACCCAGGTCTCCCTGACATGGGTCAGCTGAATCAAATCCCACGAACCCTAGGCTTACATTTCTCTGTAGACATACCCATAGTGTCTTTTTTAATGATATGTGAGCACTGAGATCTGCTAATGAAAAGCCCTATATTAGAGCTGGGTATTATTATAAGAAACAAACAATCTGAAACCTCCAAAGAACAAAACAAAAAATGTTAACAAAGTGGGGGTTTTCTTCTAAAAAAACAAAATTAGAAATGTCAGTACTGCTGCATCCCTGCTTGTGACAGGGTCTCACTGCCAGCCCAGATAAGTGGTGTGGAAGCTTTCTCAGCCTTATAATTAAAGGGGCAGATGTTCTGAAGATATCTTTTTCTCACAACTGTATATCAGAAGCTTGAGTTGAACAAAAAACACTTTAAACACTAAAGCCTTCTTTATATATAATAAAGCAGGACAGAATTTTTTTTAAACAGACCTTTTTCCCCCCACAGGTAAGCAGCTCAAGAGAGTAAACATATTATACTTCCCAAATAATATTTTTATAGAACTTATAAACACCTGAAAACAGGGAGCCTGATTCTCCACTGCCCTGCACCTTATGTAGCCATTTGCACCTGTGCAAAGCACACCACATCATCAGTCTTGGTATGGCTCATTTGTGTCTCTTTGATGATACAGGAGGGCCATATAGCCATTGTAAATAGCCTCCTGGGGATTTCCACTGTGTGGGGGAATCCTTGGGGAGAGGGACAGGGAAGGCCAATGTAACCAGAAGAACCCCACTGCACATCAGCGTAGGAGCTGTGTTGGAGACATGGCTGGGGAAAGAGCGTGTATCTTGCCAGCTGCCTGAAAGGATCCTTATGGCTCCACTGCCAGAATGGGCTATTGTAAAACCACTTTTCTCTTCCTGCCATCAGCTGCACCAAGTGCTGCTCTCACACAACTGAGGATTGAGTCCAGTGAATGCAAAGGGGCTGCAAAAAGCTACCAATTCCGAAATCTCCACTCAGCTTATACTGAATGTAGCATTGGACAGCCACAGAGTGCTCATTTTACACAGAGATTAATGACTACACAAAGTATAAAGCAGTTTAGAATTGGGCCCATTAGTGTGCTCTTAACAATACATCATCCTGGAATGTTGTGTGGCTAACACAATACTATTATTGCTGGATGCGATAGAATTTTCATCCTTAGCCCCTGTTTTCAGGTGCTTAAAGAGAAGTTATTGAACAGTAACTGGGGGGTTGTTCAAGAGTGTTGCCCCTGCATATTCAAACTTGATTCCCACAGAGGAACTGTGCTGTGAGCTTCCAAAATCTTCTAAAGAGCAATGTTCATTGGGGCCACTCCTCTCCTCCCTCCCCTCAGGCAGGGTTCCTAGGGCATAAAGTGGGGATTGTCCCCCTACCGCTCTTCCACTAATTCAGGAATACTTAACCTCAGACTCTAAAGAAGTGAGGTGGGTGGGGAGTGTGAATTTGTAGAGGGAACTCTCATGCAGAACCACAGTTACTGATAGATAACTTCTCTTTCTTCTTCAGGGTGCCTCTCCCCATTCCCACCTGTGTGCATGTAGCAAGCAGTACAACCCCAGGAAGCGGGGCTGAGGTATTTCAGATGAACAAGATTGCAGAAGTGCCACAATGTACAGCAGCTCTGGATGAGGCTACAACTACATTGCATATAGCAGCTCTGGGTCTCAGATTAAGATTATTAGTAATGACTACAACCGTGCTCTTCCAAATCAGATTTCAGTTGAAGGGAAAAAGCTGCCTCAGGCATGTACAGAACTTCAGATAGCAACCTTGCAAACTCTCTAATGAATACAACAAGAAAGCATGTTATGGAAGTTGCCTTAGGTCTAGTTGAGCATACACCAATATTTTCAGGGGGCTGAATGCCTGCCAAGTCATAACAACCATGATTCAGAGTCTGATTCATTTGGACCAGCTTCGAGCTGTGACGGATTGACCACTGGTTTCACCCTCTCTGATAGGCTCTTCTGTGGCCAGGTGGCCTAGTGGCTAGATCTCTGGCCTCACAGACCGAAAGACCAGCTAAGAGGGTGGGTGTAGGGGGACCTGGACCCTCCCTCTCTACTGGGTTCCAGCCCAGGACCCTGTGTAGATCAACTGCTAAACAGGGGAGATGGGTCTCCGTCCTGGTGAGGAGTTGAGACCCGCTTCCCTGGGCTACTTCATACAAGTCTCTTCAGTTTGGGGAATAGCCCCACTAGTCCAATTGCCCTGAGTGCTGGGGCTTGTTTGCAGCCTCCCCTTGGCAGGGGAGCCCTTATTTACCTCAAGTGACTGTGCTGGCTGGCAGGTTGCTGATCCATCCCTTTGGGCAGGCAGACAGAGAGCTCATGCCTCCTCGCTAGTCAGCACCCAACTGAGCCAGGCTCCCTTCTTTTCACCTCCCCCCTCCAGGCCTGGCATTGGCCGCAGGTGTAGTGGGGTGGGGTTAGCTGTACCCAAAGGTTTTCCTAACCCCCCACTGTGCCAGAGAGCAATTTCTGTGCTCTGCTCCCTCACACTATGATAGTCAAAAAAGCATGAACGGCCATAAATAAAAGGAAACAGGAAGGCAAGAAATGAACCAATGCGGCTAAACAGCAAGTTGAGAGAGATTATTGGAGTCAAGCAGACACCCTTCTGAAAATGGAAACCCATCCTAGTGAAGCATAAGGACCCAGGGATGCACATAGTGGATCAGACCCAAGGCCCATCTAGTCCAGTTTCCGGTCTCCAAAGGAGGCCAAATCCAGATGTTTCAGAGGAGGGTACAATAACCATGCGGTGAGCAGATGTGGGCTCCTCTGCCCTTCATGAAGGGCTCCTCCTGATGCCTAATAGAGATTGATTTAAACCAGGAAGTATGAGGCTTTATATCCCTAGCATTAACTACAACTCTGGATATTCCTGTTATCCATAAAAACATCCCATCTTTCTGTGAATCTTACTAAATTCTTGGCAATAAGTTCCACACTCTAATTACCCAGTCAAGGAAAATGTATTTCCTTCTATTGGTTTTGAATTTGCCACCTTTCAGTTTCATCAAATGTCCACTTGATCTTGTGTTATGAGACAGGGAGAACAGAAGCTCCCAATCTACTTTCCCTACTCCATTCACTATCTTATAGACTTTACCACATTCCCTCTTATTCCTCTCCATTCTAAGGGCTTGTCTGCACGGTGTGTTACTGCACCATGTAGACAAGCCCTAAGATAAACAATCCCAATCTTTTATACCTCTCTTCATATCAGAGTTTTGGCATCTCCCTAATCATTCTTTTCACCCATTTCTGAACCCTCTACACGATTCTCTTTTTGAGGTGGGCTGACCAGCACTGCAGACAGTATTCAAAATGGCAGCATAATATTGATTTACATAATGACTTCTAATATTGTTATGTGTTGGACTAAACTCCATTAAAGCTGGTGATTTAATTGCTGCCTTTCATTCAGGAGACATGTAAAAAGCAATTGAGTTCCTTTATGGAACCAGATGGCTGAAACAACAGGAGCACCCTGCAAAACACAAGTGTATGGCAAGCCTTGAGCAGAAGCTGAACAATGTGGTCCAAGCAGGTTTTCCCTGGGACTGACACAGCAAATGCAGAAGCTAGGTCATTGATTGGTGCAGCTGTGTGTGACAGAAGCAGCAAGAAAAATGAGAAAAGCTGAGATACAAGCAGCAGAAAGCCAAGGGGACAGTCACAGAATCACTGGAAATGTGTCCCTGAGAAAAAGCCTACAGAAAGCTTTTGGGCTAAGTGCTGGCTGGAAAGGGGCTTAGAACTATGAGCAACGACAGTGCCCTCCTGCTATTGGATTCCTACTGCATTCAGGAAAACAGGACTTTGTACTTTCTTTGTAAATAGACAGGACTACACTGAAGAAATACCTGACTCCAACATATACATGTCTCCTCTTAACAGGCATGTGAGAGTATTCCTGGTGACTCACTGAGGATTAAGTGGAGATTTCGCAGTCCCTCACCTCACTGCTTAGACATGAACAAACATGGGATTAGGAAACTAAACTAGAAAGGGCTCAGCAGGAAAGCCATAAAAGGCAAATGGAAGCCCCTTGTTGGGTCTACCCTCTGAAAGACAAGGAGTTTATCCTGGAAACAGAGTACAGTATGGATGCAGCCTCGGACAGATCCATGATCAAGATAACTGGGTCACTCAGCAGAGTGTGAGAAAGTCTTTCTGGCAACAATGTGGAGGCCCTGAAGCACCCTATCATCAGAAGAGGGGAAATGATCATAGAGACTCACCACTCTTTTAAATAACTACTAAGCCAAGGAAGGGAGAATCAGCAGTACCAGGACCACTGCTTGACGCTGGAAGGATACAACCTGGAGGCTTGATATAACTCAAACAAGAGAATCAGGAATGCTCCAAGTTTAGCTCATCTACACCCAATGTAGAGTTACTGGTTCAGAGCCCCCAGATCCTGTGCCCATTGAGACTCCCACCCTGCATAAATTGTGACACTTCCCTTACCAAGAGGTGAGCTAAGCACTGGGAACCAGAAACCATGGTAGTCACTCCTTAAAGAAACAATTCTCTCAAAGCACCCTGGTCTTTTCCTATGAAGATTGCAGAGGCACATCTAAAAGAACCTAATGGTGTCCAGGCTTTATCAATACATAGAGGACCCTGAGACCCATCCTATCACATCTGAGAAACTGGCAAAAGGATCAACAACCAGAGATCATGTTCAATCTAAGAGAGAGGATTTTTTATGCAGACTGACCCTGACCTACAGTCTTGAATGAAACCACATTCCCCAGCATGTGGTATCCATGTCCTACTGTGGGATTATACTACTCCATGCACATGATGAAACATGCTGAGAACATCCCTGCCACCAGACCATGTATGATCATCTGAAACAGACTCCTTCTGGCCTGAGTAAGAAAGTAGCTAGCTACATCCAGGGAAGCCTCAGCTGCATTAAGTTCCAGCCCACACAACCCCACATGCGTCTGACGAAGTGGGTATTCACCCACGAAAGCTTATGCTCCAATACATCTGTTAGTCTTAAAGGTGCCACAGGACTCTCTGTTGCAACCTACACACTGTGCACCTCACAGAGCTAGGGAATATCCTTCCCTGTCAGACATTCAAACTAACTGGGTGGGCCCAGAGACCCGTTCCTCCCAATGAAATTCGTACATGCTCACAATAACCTGCCTGCTCACAGAATGGGAGGAAGGTTTACCTGCCAGTGATACAGCTCATACAACAGCCACACTACCACTAAATCGTGTTTTCAGTAGATGGCATCTGCCCCTTGGCAGAAACTCAGACAGAGGATCTCACTTTATCTCAGATTTGATACATATGCTGTGCAAGACACTAGGACTAAAACAGAAGTTCCATATTCTACATCACCATCAATCCTCCAGACAGGTCAAGTACATGAACTGGACAAGGATATTTATCACTAAGATATTGGTCTCAGAAAATGGCTGGGACCTGAAACAGCCACTAGCATTAATTGGCCATGGGATCAATTCCAAACAATCCACAAACGTCACCCCTTTCAAGCTTTTGACATGTATGACTTCATGGGGAGGACATGAGAGTCCTCCCCATGAATCTGCTATTCCAGACTCCAGACACAAGAGTTATGACTATCATCCAACAATGCTTAGTAGAATTAAAGCATCTCTTGCAAACCATATTTTCATTTGCTTGGCAGAAGACAGAGGAGTGTGCCCAGGAGCAAAAGCCTTGTTATGCTAGAAACTTTTCCGAGGGAATGTCATACCGGGACAGGGTATTTTATTTTGACAATTACCAAAAAGAAGAGAAGGGTCAAAAAGTTCCAACCTTGTTGGAAAGGGTCTTACTTCACCACAGGTAAAACCTCCCCTGTAGCATATGAAATCAAAGTGCTGGAGGGAAGGCAAAGCCCCATCTTCAAGTTGATTCACAAAAGCCAAATTAAGCCCTGGAAAATCCAAGTTGCCCCTTCAATGCAGGAAAAAGACCGGGGCTTCACTATGGACAGCTCAATAGCAACTGCTGATTGCTCAGTGACAACTTCTGCTCAGTGTGTAGCAGTGGTACAAAAATCAGACAAAATGTTAGATTACACAAGAAATAGGGTAGACAAAATACACAAAATACATGACATTACATAAATCAGTGGTGGGCTCTAACCAGGAATACTGTTCATCCCAACTCCAAAGTACATAGCAGAATCAAAGGGAGTTCAGAAAAAACAGCAAGAAAGATTCGGAGCATGGAGAAATTCAAATGAAGAGACTGAACAGACTAGAACTCTTTGCCTTTGAGAGAAGACAAATGAGAAAACAGTCATCACAAAACAATGTCTAGTATAGAGAAGATAGAAGACAGGGTGAATAGACGTTACCAGTCTAATACAATATCAAGGGGACATTTAATGAACTTGAAAGACGGCAAATTAAAAACTGATAAAAATACTTTCTCCACACAATGCTTAATTAGCCTGTGAAACTTATTGCTACAGTATATTGAGGCTGAAAGTTTAGCAGAATTAAACAAAGAATTATTATTTACAGGGATAACAGTCCTATCTAGTTATAATACTAAACATTTAAAAAATGAACAAGAGTTCTAGAAAGGATATAAACTTGTGCTTCAGGACATAAGACCTGATCCCTCCCTCAACTCCCCCTACACCTTCCTTACTATTGGGGTCACAAGGAAACTCACTCTATGGGCAGGTTATCCTATAACTGCTTACTGTAGTGTTTCTAGCACCTTCCTCTGAAGTATCTGGCACGGGCCACTGTCAGAGACAGAATACTGGACTTGATGGACCAGTGGTAGCATGGTAGTTCCTAGGTTCCTAAAAATGCATGTGCAACCTGGGAGGTCAGGCCTCATCTGCTCTGCAGTTTCCCTTGATTCACTCTGACTCCCCCCAGGTTGTGGAATCTCTTAGGTGTCATTAGTTTGCTGCTGCTCCCGCAGCTGTGCCTGCTACTGGTGCTGTGGGGGATATTCATGGAGAAATGACTCTCAGGAGTCAGAGTCACTTTGGATTGTTTTTACCTGTCTCTTTTTCCTGTTTGAGTTTCCTGGCAGAGTTGTTGAAATTGAGGCTAGTGAAGATTTTGATAGCTACGGCCACAGCACTCTCCGGACCATAGTGTTCTTTCAGGAGTCTCGCAGCATCTATCGTGTCAGCCTTCTCCAGTTTACACCAGGGGATTGAGGGTTTGTCATCAAAGACAAACTCAGATAATTTGTGTCTAAATCTTTTAAAGTCTTGCTCTGCAAGCTCATCCAGTTCCTGCAGGAGGACGTCACTCAGTGTCTTTCTGCTCATCACGAGGATATTAAGAACTATCTGAAATGGAAACAAGCACAGTAGAGGATTAATGCTAAACTGTGGACATCATAAAGTTGTAATCCCAACAATTAAGTGCACCCAGTGACTGCACAAAAACACCTTTCCACATACCCACAGCTACCACATTTTGTGCAATTCCATGTGTCACATTTTATCCAAGTTACTTACTGAGATAATTTGTACATTTATAAGTTTGTATATAAAAAGCTTCAGCTTGTGGGGTTACATCCTGGCCCAAGCAGTGGCAGGGGTATGACAGTGCTGTACAAAATTTGGCAGTGGTGCCTGGGGGAAGCTGGTGGCTCTCTGAGATGCTGGGTGGGTGCTGGGGTACCTTGGGGTAGCTGGAGGTGTGGGGTGGATGAGTGCTTGGGTTACTGGGGATGGGCATTTGTTGGGTGCCTGGAGTTGTTTGCTGGCTGCTGGGTGGTGCTGGGATGAGGGTGGCAGCTGTTGAAGGGAGGGGGTGGTGGTGCTGATGATTGTGTGAGGGTGGCTGCTGGTGGGTTGGGAGGGGTGTATGCTGCTGGTGCAGAGGTTGGTGGGGGCCTGGCACCAATAATGGGCCTCCCACCTTGTGCTGCTCCCATGTCTCTCTGCTCCTTCCTACCCAGGACCCAGCCAGAGGAAGGAATAGCAGGACAGAAGATGCCTGGCTGCCTGCTTCTCTAGAAGACAAAATACACAAGTGCAGCCCCTGTCCACAGCTGAGCCAAATGACTGTGATGTTCAGATGGAGCTGTGGGTAGGTGGGACAGGACTTCCTGATGTCTGAGTGTCCTGAGAGATATTCAATACTTGGAAGCCCTGTGACCCAAGATCAGACCGGAAACAAGATACCTGGTGGTACTCTCTGAAACACCAGTCACAGGCAAAGCTCTGTCCACAGCTGTCTCTGAGCACCAACACCATCAGGGGAGGGCTCAGTGTCTACAGAGTAGAGCTGGCTGTGCAGAGGGCCTCCCTTATACACACCTTGTCTGAAGGTGAAGGGTTCAGTCAGGGCCCAATTGAATGTGACCAAGCACTGCGCAGAGGTGCACAGCACCCAGAAGGACCACACAGAGCAGGACCAAAGCTGAACCAAAACAGAGTTGCCAGGATATATTCATGATCCGCCCTGTCCAATGCCTTTTCCAGGTTGAGAGTCAAGGAAGTGCATGACAAACCAAGTCCCTGCCCCAAAACCGATTGCTGAATACAGTCTGGGCTGGAAGGCATAGGTCTGGTCAGGGTGGATCACTACCACCAGCACAGACTGCAGTTGCACCAAGATGGCCTTCACTACAACCTTTAGTCCATATAGAGGAGTGATGCCAGTGACAATTCCTCAGATCACAGAGATCCCCCTTCTTGTGCACCAGAGCAAGCACTGCCTGCTGCCTGAAAGGGAGAGCACTCCATTCCCCAGAGATTCAGTCCAGAGCATGGATGAGGTACTGAATTAGAATGTCTTAGAACATGTGGAAGAAACCTCCTGTCAGACTTTCAATGCCCAGAGATTGTTGATGGGCATAAGATGAAAGTCTTCTAAACTCCAGGTTCTTCGTTCAGATGGGTCTGAAGGACAAACATCCACTGACAAAAGTACAGATATTCTTGATCAAAGCAAATACAGAAGGTGTCTGTGTCAGCAGCAATGGCAGCAAGTTTGTCTACAGCATCATCAGCACAGGAGGACTGCCCTTTCTAACCAGCAACAAGAGCCTATATAAGAGTCAAAGTAGCGTCCTCCACAATCACTCAATTACAGGTCAGGGATCAAATCCTCTTTGCTATTTTAATTAGAGTAATTTTGTTGAAGCCAATGGTACTAGCTGTGAGAGGAAAGCGAGAGCATCTGACCCCACATCTTTAATGTTCACCTACTGTTTAATGAATGAACAGGTCAAAATGAATCAGAACAGAAAACATTCTGTACCATTCCAGCTCCTGTAAGGGGTAGCAAATGATCTCAGCTATTTCATGATTTGTATTGACAGATCCAGTTTTTGTAACTGTTCACCAAAGAGTCTGAACAAACAATTTTGGGACTCTGGGTTATTCACAAATGTTCAGCATAGTTATTTACAGTGTGTTGTTTGTCACCTATGTTGTGCAGCCCTGTTCCTGCTCCATGAAAAGATATTTTTCTTTTATTTTTTCAAACAGGACACAGATCACATAATGACTAAGGAGCTTCCACACACCTGCTCAAGTGAAAATTATTTGTCCAGACATTTGTCATGTCAGATTATTGAATTTCACATTATTGAATTATTTTCCTGAATAATCTGGCACTTATCTGAATGTTCACACATAACAACAAATAAAGACGCCTCAAATAGCATTTTAAATCACTAGTCTGTTGTATCTGTATATGACCCTCAGCTGTGTTCTCACTGATGTCTGTGGAAAAGGAAATGTCATGTGCAGGCAAATGTAATGAAAGCTCAGCAACACCATTAAAGAAACAGAGCATATTCATAACAGACGAGTGCAAACAGATCTGACATGGATATTGCCCCCACCCATGTCCCACCAGATATCTAAAGCTGAACATTAACTGTACATCTCACTGTCTGTGGATTCCAACATAATGTGTAAGGGGGCTTGACTTTGACCATGCCTAGATTTTTGGAAACCCACATTCTCAACCCTGTTGCTGTTTCACTGTCACAACTCAAGTTTCCGTTGACTCTGATTACTGTGCACACAGAGCAGCTCCAACTCCAGAGGCCCTGTGACATTATCTGATTATAACATCTCATTGAAGTGTGACACATTGCCAGAAAAGGGTTAAGCATCTTGCAGGCCAATTGACCCAAATTCAACCCTTAAAGACATATGGGGAGATAATGTTTGTGTTTGTGTGTATTTACATATATATTGATAGTGGTCAACAATGTAATCAGCAGCCTCTGTCTATGCTGTATTCATCTCTCTTTGAAATGTACAGCATATCATCTGTGAATGGTGGAGGAACAAGCAAATTGCTTTATGTTAATTCGTATATAGCTAAATATTGGAGATGGACCTACATCATCCTAATGACCTTTTGTTCCCTGAGCCATCTTTTCTCAAGACTAAACATGCCCAGTTTTTTAAATCTTTCATCATAGGTCACATTTTTTAAACCTTTTATCATTTTTGTTGCTCTCCTATGGATTCCCTTCAACGTATTCACATCTTTCTTGAAGTGTGGTACCCAGAACTGGACGCAGTACTCTAGGTGAGGCCTCATCGGTGCCAAGTACAACAGGACAATTACTTCATGGGTATTTCGTACAACACTGCTGTTAATACACCATAGAATGATAGTAGCCTTTTTCACAATTGCATCATATTATTGACTCATATTCAATTTGTGATCCACTATAACCCCCAGTACTACCGCCAACCCTGTTATTCTCCATTTTGTAGTTGGGCATTTGATTTTTGCTTCCTAAGTAAAGGACTTTGCACTTGTCTTTACTGAATTTCATCTTGTTGACTGCAGACCAATTCTCCAATTTAGCAAGGTCACCCTGAATTCTGATGTTGTCCTCTGAAGTGCTTGCAGCCCCTCTCAGCTCGGTACCATCCACACATTTTATAAGCATACACTCTACTCCACTATCCAAATGATCAACAAAACTGTTGAACAGTACCTGACCCCTGCAGGACCCCACTATATGAACCTCCCAGTTTGAAACATACCATTGATAATTACTTTTGGAGTATGGTCTTTCAACCAGTTGTGCACTCACCTGACAGTAATTTCATCTAGACCACATTTCCCTAGTTTGCATCTGAGAATGTTATGTGGGTTTATATCAAGTCTACTGCTTCCCCTATCCATTAGGCCAGTAACCCTGTCAAAGAAGGAAATTAGGCTGGCTTGTTCTTTACAAATCCATGCTGGCTTTTCCTTATGACCACATTATCCTCTAGGTGCTTATAAATTTATTTTTTTTAATCATTTGTTCCAGTATCTTTCCAGATATTGAAGTTAGGATCCCTGCTCTATAATTGCCCAAGTCCTCTTTGCTCCCCTTTTAAACACAGGTACTATGTTTGCCCTTCTCCTATCCTTTGGGACCTCACCCATCCTCCAGGAGTTCTCACAGATAATTGCTAACAGTTCCAAGATTTCTTCAGTTAATTCCTTTAGTACCCTAGTATGAATTTCATCAAGCCCCACCAAATTGAATACATCTAACATATCTAGATATTCTTTAACCTGTTCTTTCCCTATTTTTGATTGCATTCCTTCCCCCTTGTTGTTAATACTTATTGTGTGGAGTATCTGGTCACCATTAACCTTTTTATTGAAGACAGAAGCAAAATAGGCATTAGACATCTCCGTCTTCTTAATGTCATTATTAGCTGTCTTTCTCCACTAAGTAGATGACCTACACTTTCCTTCATCTTTTTCTTGCTCCTAATGTATTTAAAGAATCTCTTCTTATTGCCTTTTATGTCCCTTGCTAAGCGTAACTCATTTTGTGCCTTAGCCTCTCTGATTTTATCTCTGCATACTTGTGCTATTCTTTTCTACTCCCCCTTAGCAATTTGTCCATCTTTCCACTTTTTGTAGGATTCCGAACCATCTTTCCTATCTAATTAAATAAACAAAATAATTTCTCTTGATATGGGATTTATCTGAAATATAATCCAGAACTGTGTTATTTATGTACTCACCAAACATGCTTGATAATTCAAAAATGTATATGAAAACATGGTCTCTGTCTCAAAATGCTTGAAACCTATTTTTTTATCTTGTCTTACATTCTTTACATACATTCCAATCATTGTGAACAGCAACAGGGATAAAAGAACCCCTAAATATTGAACCCTGCCCTGGGTGCTGCTGGCTCCACATGGCAGAAAGGTTACATAAATGTGATCTGTGTTACATAATTCATGTAATTGTTACCTTATTATTATTCCTTCTATTTTTTGTTTTCAGTTATACCCCAAAACAACATGAATGTCCAGTATAATAAATTTTTATCTGAACTAGAACAGACTAGGGA